AAAATAAAAATTAAATAGTAAGAATGCAACCTAAGGTTGTTGTTATCTATGATGATAGCCATCGATCTACGTTTCAGGACTGCAATGAAAAATATTTGGAATTTTTATTAGAAGTTCAAGGAAAAAATAATAGTTTTAATAATAAGAGCTGTGCAGATCTATGCTCAGGATGCAATGAAATAAATAATAGTAGGCTCAAATTAAAAGAAGAGGGTCCTAAAGAAATTCTTGCCTTTTTTGGTTCATATCTAGAACAGCAGTTAAACAGTTTTTGTAAAAGATGCTATAATAAATGTAAAAACAATAGCAATGTAACATGTTGTAATGAAGAAAAAGATGAATTAAAATTAGATGCTGGCAAAGTATGTGAAGGGGGTAACGTTTGTAAAGGATCTACAGCACCAGAAATAGAAAACCTTAAGTCACAGCATGCAATGGATCCACAAATATCTGAACCCAAAGCATCGGAAAGCAAACATTCCAAAGAACAACATGAAAACCGTAATATTAAAAGTGAATCAAGAGAAGAAAATGAAAATTCAAATAAATTGCAAGAAACAATGAATACAGTCACATTTGATGAACATAAGGAAGAAGCCTTTTCATCAATAACTAAGGAATATGTCACTGTTCCTTCAAAAGGAGAGGTTACAGGAGAATCTTTATATGTCACAGATGATTCAGCTAATAGAGGATTAGATACCAAAGGAAATTCTCAATTTTTTCAAGCAAGGTTTCTTGAGGTATCTAATACAGATGATACACAAGAAGCATATATTTTAACTGGGGATGCTCCTCGAAGTAAATCACAAGAATTTGAAGGTCGTGCTAATGAAGGAGATATAGTGTAAGGTTTTAATGTTAAAGAAATCTACAATATAGTGACTATTTTTTACAATACATTTCTTTGTACAGTACTTGGTAGTATGCCTTCTCTTAAAAGTGTTACCAATTATCTACATACTAGTGATGTAGGAGGAACGGTCACAGGCACAATAAACATATCTTGTGAACCTGGAAGCAATGATAATCCATCGTCTTGCAAAGGAAACTACAAAGGTAAAATTTATAATGGTATATCTGCAAGCCATGGAAATTCAGGTAACGAATATGCTCTTTCATATACCAATTTGTCTTTAGATACTAGTGTAGAGGGGATTTACATTCAAAATAAGTACCATGAAGTTGCTAATGAGAGAGTTATTCCTAATAGCACACTTCCTAATGGAATGCATAATTGTGTACATTTCAACTTGAAATTTCACCTACCATTGTCACGTCTTCTAACTGACACTCTGAAATATCTAATGAAATTTNNTCTTGTAACATATATAGTAGGGAGGGAAACTGTTTTAAATGTACCTGTGTCAACAGAGACTACAGCTACCGCTGATAGAGGTATTGTACAAGAAGAATCCAGAGAAAACCACAGCTTGATACCATATAAAAAATATATCATAATGGCTTTAGTGCCCTTGTCAATTATTTTGCTACTGATAATACTTACAAATGTAAACTAAAGTATGATATAATAAAAGAATTATTCTTATATTTATAACTATTTAAATAAATTAAATTATCATTTTATAATCTTTTCATTT